ATCAGAGACCGAGACTCGCGGTGCTAACAGGGAGCCTTACCACGCTGACTTCGAGGTCCACTCAGCAAGGCTTCAGGGACCTTGCAGATACAGATAGGTACCTACTATGTACTATGTACTCTGCACAGGATCTCGTCTCTGTACGGGCAGATTGGACAGGTGTCCGGCAGTCGTTCAGAGCTCTTAAACCTCCGGCTGCTGCAGCATAAGCCCCAAGTCGAGTTCCAATTCCAGTTCGATCGATGACGATGCTTCACGGCTGGAACGGAGGCGGTCTGATGACCGAACTTGTCTGAGGGTTGACCGCAACGGATCGTAAATATGGTCAAATGTCACCTCGACCAGCGACAGGGCGCGTGTCAGGAGAGGAATGTGTGGCGCGAGGTAATGTTGCTGTTGATGATGGCTGACGGGCCGAGGAGCTTGGACTTGGGAATTCGATGGGCGGCCAGCCACGACAATTGTCGACAAGGATACGTGGGTACCAATAGCGTGGTGGGAACAGACGGGTTCTGCTCTGGCGTCGTGGTGGATTATGGCTTGATGATGAGGATGCTGACCAGCAGTCCGTCCTTGTTCATGGCCCGTCTTGGACATTCTCACGTTTCGTTCCATATTTGCTTCTTTGCGTGGAGAGCATCGTCTCCCGTCCCTGGTCTCTTGTCACCTGTGCCTGTCCCGGTGCCTCCTGTCCACTGTGGCCAAATCGGATTCTTTTTCGCCAGAGGATCGTACCGGCGATTGGAAGGCACGGTCTAGTGGAGTGGTGATGGAATATCGGTTCCATGGATCCAAGATCCATCGCAGCCCAAGACTCGGCGGACCAGAGCCCAAGACCACCCCAAGACACTCGGACCTTGGATGATCAGACACTCGATCAATACTCCGACAGGGTCCAGACCAGTCAAGCCAGTTAAGGACACGTCCACCGTAGCCCCGTTGATTGAGGTAAGGACCCAAGGGACCAAGGCAGGCGGGGAAAGGCGCCTTTGGCTGGCTGGACTGCGCCTTCTCTCCAGCCTTACCTTCTAGCCAAGTAAGGTACCTAGGTAAGGTACTTTGCGGTAGGTCGGTATTTTAGGCAGGTACCTGCCTGGCAAGAACCCTCTGGTGCCATGGCCGACCTTGACTGCCTCCTCCTATCTAAGTAAAAGCTTGCCCCTTGTCACTCCCTGTTCCGTGTGTCTGTCGCCGGCATGGCTCCTCCTAGCTCCAGCACCTCGGTACAGGTAGGTGAGGTACTACACAACAGATATCTACAGGGTCCTGTGCACAATCCAGCTCTGTTCTGTCTCTGTCTCCATGGCGAATTAACGATGGCCAACCTTCACTCGTTGAGCTCTTCTTCCACCATCCCTGCTATCCAAAACGTTCAGCTTCCAGCATGTCTCACTCGTGCATTTTCATCTTCGTACTTTTGACACGGTGGATTCGAGAAATCCCACGAGCTTGCGACGTCAAAGGCCTGACTGGTCGATGAGGAATTCCTTACCATCCACGCCATGTCACTCGGAACATGCACGATGCTAGGAACAATTAGCCACCTCGACCCCTCCAGCCATGATTGCCTTGACCGTTGAGACAGCGCACGGATCTAATCGGTGTCGGTGCTCAACCATCTTTGGAACCCAACGAGCACGTCACGGTATCTGTCTTTTCTCAGATCCGGGGCAATGTAGCGGGAAGACGAGACTGTCGACCATGGCGCATGTCCGTGCCCATCTCTCTGGAGTATTGTGGATTGTCCTGGTCGCCTGTACAATCAATCCATCAATCGCACATCCATCGTTCCTGGGGGAGCAGCTAAAATCTTCGAGTCCAAGCTCCTGGCCCAGTCCGACCGCGGGAGCTTTTCCGGCACGCGGCGCCCCTTCACACTCGAACTGATATGACCGCCTGGGTAATAGTGGTGGTGGACACTGCTCAAGTGTAAGTATCAGTGGGTTGGATTGGATGAACTACGATCGCCGGAAAGGGCTACCTCCGATCTTCGAAGCCCTTCGTCCCCCTCCAGGCCGAGACACGACCTGTCACTAACCATGCTAGAGCATGCTGATGCTCAGAAGCATGCGAGCTGTCCCGCCTCTTTCTTGCGACTTTGCGAAACGCAGTGTTGCGGCTGGGAGTGCATGATTGCAGCTGCTTCTCGTCCAGTCGGCCAGTCACCGCTACCTTGGATGGAGACCTTGATCCTTCGAATGTCGTCTAGCGCGTGCTCGTGGTTATGGAGGCCCCTTTTCTTCCTAAATCACACCCTCCATTATGTTCAGCTCGAGGGCCCGCAAAGCCGAGGGCCACGACTCCCCAATCGCTCGCCCAGCTGGTGGACAGCTGATGCCTGATGCCTGACTGAAGAAAGAAAAGAGCCGTGAAGCGAGCGACGTCTTTGATTTGTATGTGGCGGCTCTTGCTTCTGGTGTGCTGTCATTGGCATCCAAGACCCCTTCCGAGGCGACATGCTCAACAGCAGGATTCAATGCACGCAATCAAGCCAGCCCACGCGGCAGGCTGTCCCATCGAGACGCATCTTTCTTGGCTCTCACGCGCAACAGATGAAAGGGGGAAGATTTGGGGTCAGGATCAACCACAGCTCCTCTATTGGCTGCATGCACTTGACGTGTCTTAACGCCACGATGTCCCGGCTCTCAGCGAGCGAGCTACGCTACGCTACCGCGAGGGCGTATCGTAGAGTAGGTACCTTACCTACCTCCTTACTGTAGGTACCCTACCCTGACTTGAACCCCCCACACCTCAAAAACAAGCCATTGGACCGCTTTCGAACCCAGCACGATACGCCGCCTCAGCTGGACAAGGTCTGACCCCCCCCCCCCCCTCCTCTCTCTCTCGCTATCCCCCGCTTGACAATAGCCTGGTCGACAGAATGACGCCACGAAACGATCTTGGTGGGATGCGGCCAAACCGTGTCTGAAGTAGGTCGTCTTGAAGTGAAGGGTACAGCC